GCCTCTTTAAAAGTCATAGTTTTTGGGGCATACATAGTATATCTGCCCCCCTTCAGTAGAGGAATGTGAAAACAGCCTGTTTTCACACCTAAAGCAGTTAGTATAGTGGAGGACTGATATTTTTGGGGGTATAAAATAAAAAAATCTTGTTTTGGAAGTAGTAAGAGACTAATAATTTAATGTAACAAACAGTAGTACTTCAGGACTTCAATCAAACTATGATCAGCTGATTTGGAACTGAATTTCAGAGTTGAGTTCAGAGTCTCCCCAATCCACCCACCCAGGTGTGTCTGAGGTTTAGAAACAGCAAACTTAGTAAGTCTTCCTTGTATTTCCAGGTGTCTCGCAGGTTTCGGGATTTAATGCATTTGTTTCGGATGGCAGCTCGTCAGACCAACTCTGAGGACGAGGCTCCGCCTGCTGAGCCAGCAGTAGCCAATGAGGAAGAAGTCTGATATTAACCAATCAGAAGAGCTGCAGCAGGAAAAAAAAGCTTGATATTTATATGACTGTTATCCTGAAAGTAGTGATTATAAATCACATTTCCTGAACATGAAAAATTGTACATAGGGATCTTGGAGATTATTTAATATTTCTGTAAAAATGTGGCATTTTTGTTTTGTTTTTTTACAATGAAATATATTTTTAGAAGTCTCTCTGCTGTCCTGGATCAAACCACTTTAGGACTACATCAGACCAGTTTGTGGGGAAGATGTGGAGTGTGTCTTTGTCCGTTGCTAAACTGATCCAGATCAAATCTATAATCCTGGATTTTCTAATGCCATCTGAGATTATAGCTAATTATTATTAATAATATAAAAAAACAGTACTTAGAAATCATTTGAACCCATATATATATATGTATGTATATTTGAACCTTAAACTTCTGTTCCTGTTGGAGGTGAAGACAAACTGATGACAGATAAACAGAGCAAACAGAAATCTAGAGGACAATATGTGAAATACCATATGAAACACTAGACTGTGCTATATGTAGAACATCCATAAATCCATGTAGCAGCAGTCTTTAAGTAGCCCAGACCTGATTCTACTCAGAAATGCTGCTCCTTTTTTTCTCCAAACATGCCTTTGCTGATTGTGTCCAAAGAGTTCTATTTTAACTTCATCAGTCCACAGCACTTGTTTCCAAAACGCATCGGGCTTCTGTAGATGTCCTGTTGCATACTTCAGATGTTGGATTTTATGATGGGGACGCAGATAAGGTTTTCTTCTGCTGACTCTTCCATGAAGGCCTTGTCTGTGCAAGCATCGCTGCACAGTGGAACGGTGCACCACCACTCCTGAGTCTGCTAAATCTTCCTGCAGGTTTTTTGCAGTCAAATGGGGGTTTTGATTTGTCTTTCTGACCAGCATACGAGCAGTTCTGTCCGAGAGTTTTCTTGGTCTTCCAGATCTCATCTTGACCTCCACAGTTCCCCTGATCTGCCATCTCTTAATTACATTTCTTACTGTGGAAACTGCAAGCTGACAACGCTTTGCTATCTTCTTGTAGCCTTCTCCTGCATTGTGGGCATCAATAACTTTCATTTTCAGGGTCTTACACAGCTGCTTAGAGGAACCCATGGTTGCTGGGTGTCCACAAGTGTGTGCACAAGGTTTGAAGAGTCAAGGTATTTGTACAGCTTTGAAATTGGCATTTACCAATGACAGCTGTTGCTGTGCATCAGATCTAATGAGCTGATTAAGGTCTGAAACCTTGTGAGAGACTTTGAGACTCTGGAACTCTTAGGGTGCCCAAACTTTTGCACCATGCCATAATAATGTTTTTATTTTTTATTTTTGTTCAATTTATGGCATAAGAAGTAACTATGCATCACTGTTTGCTGAAAATATTGTGCATTTTTTCCATTTCCAAGAGAAACTGTGTTAACATCTGTTCAAATAAAAAATCACCAAAATCTGTTATCAAGGGGTGCCTAAACTTTTGCATAAGACTGTATAATCCTGGATTTTCTAATGCCATCTGAGATTATAGCTAATTATTATTAATAATATAAAAAAACAGTACTTAGAAATCATTTGAACCCATATATATATATGTATGTATATTTGAACCTTAAACTTCTGTTCCTGTTGGAGGTGAAGACAAACTGATGACAGATAAACAGAGCAAACAGAAATCTAGAGGACAATATGTGAAATACCATATGAAACACTAGACTGTGCTATATGTAGAACATCCATAAATCCATGTAGCAGCCGTCTTTAAGTAGCCCAGACCTGATTCTACTCAGCTTACTCTTCTGGATCCTCCTGGAGCATCCTCAGGTGTTCCCAGATCTGGTAGGAACTATTTACACTCAGAGGCCACTTTATTAGGTACACCTGTACAACTGTCTGCACCTTAATATCTGTCTTTATGAAGCTCAAAGTGGTGAAATTGTGATAAATGTATAAATTCAATTATGTGTTTATTAGTGAGGTCATAGTTAAAGATAGTGTTGTACCAGACTACGTTATATTCAGAGGTGTTCCTAATATTCTGACCCTTTCAGGTATGTAGCTGGGGAGGACAAAAACAGAAACACCTGGTGTAACACAGCTGCAGTGTTTCTGTTATGTGCTTGAATTCTTCATAAGCTTCCACGAGTAGCTCTTGCACCAGGACCAGTCTTGTGTTCCCCCACTGAGATGTTTTGCTTCTTAAAAATTTCATGTGGGGCCCCCGCAATGGTTATGGTTAGGATAATGCTGTGTTGTCATCTAAACCATAATAATGAGCAGCTGAGCAGAGTTTGAGAAATGTGGAATTTCTCACCGCTACAGTATTTCTCACTCACGGGGGAGGATTGTGGAAGTGCCATCGTTACAGGTTTGAAAATGGCTTCATAATGGCCATCACCAGGAAATAAACCTAATTTCACTAGTAAACGAACAAGAAAATACAGTATTGTTCAAAATAATAGCAGTACAATGTGACTAACCAGAATAATCCAGGTTTTTAGTATATTTTTTATTGCTACATGGCAAACAAGTTACCAGTAGGTGCAGTAGATTCTCAGAAAGCAAACAAGACCCAGCATTCATGATATGCACGCTCTTAAGGCTGTGAAATTGGGCAATTAGTTGAAAGGGGTGTGTTAAAAAAAATAGCAGTGTCTGCCGTTGACTGTACAAACACAAAACTATGTTGTACAAACGTTTTTGTTTCTAGGATTTAGCAATCCTGTGAATCACTAAACTAATATTTAGTTGTATGACCACAGTTTGTTATAACTGCTTCACATCTGTGTGGCATGGAGTCAACCAACTTGTGGCACCTTTCAGCTGTTATTACACTCCATGATTCTTTAACAACATTCCACAATTCATTTACATTTCTTGGTTTTGCTTCAGAAACAGCATTTTTGATATCACCCCACAAGTTCTCGATTGGATTAAGGTCCGGGGATTGGGCTGGCCACTCCATAACATTAATTTTGTTGGTTTGGAACCAACACTTTGCTCGTTTACTAGTGTGTTTGGGGTCATTGTCTTGTTGAAACAACCATTTCAAGGGCATGTCCTCTTCAGCATAAGGCAACATGACCTCTTCAAGTATTTTGACATATGCAAACTGATCCATGATCCCTGGTATGCGATAAATAGGCCCAACACCATAGTAGGAGAAACATGCCCATATCATGATGCTTGCACCACCATGCTTCACTGTCTTCACTGTGTACTGTGGCTTGAATTCAGAGTTTGGGGGTCGTCTCACAAACTGTCTGTAGCCCTTGGACCCAAAAAGAACAATTTTACTCTCATCAGTCCACAAAATGTTCCTCCATTTCTCTTTAGGCCAGTTGACGTGTTCTTTGGCAAATTGTAACCTCTTCTGCACATGCCTTTTTTTTACGAGCAAAGTCTTGGTTCCAAACCAACAAAATTAATGTTATGGAGTGGCCAGCCCAATCCCCGGACCTTAATCCAATCGAGAACTTGTGGGGTGATATCAAAAATGCTGTTTCTGAAGCAAAACCAAGAAATGTAAATGAATTGTGGAATGTTGTTAAAGAATCATGGAGTGTAATAACAGCTGAAAGGTGCCACAAGTTGGTTGACTCCATGCCACACAGATGTGAAGCAGTTATAACAAACTGTGGTCATACAACTAAATATTAGTTTAGTGATTCACAGGATTGCTAAATCCTAGAAACAAAAACGTTTGTACAACATAGTTTTGTGTTTGTACAGTCAACGGCAGACACTGCTATTTTTTTGAACACACCCCTTTCAACTAATTGCCCAATTGCACAGCCTTAAGAGCGTGCATATCATGAATGCTGGGTCTTGTTTGCTTTCTGAGAATCTACTGCACCTACTGGTAACTTGTTTGCCATGTAGCAATAAAAAATATACTAAAAACCTGGATTATTCTGGTTAGTCACATTGTACTGCTATTATTTTGAACAATACTGTATGTATGTTACTTAGCATCACAATGAGTGAGTGAAATAACTTTATTCATTTCCAAAGTTAACTGAACAATTAGCATAATAGCAAAAGTAGAACTTAGAAATGCAATTTCAGTGTTCCAAACCGTGCATCAAAGGCTGTAGCCTAGATAAACTGACAGTTTGGCGTAAACATTTCTGGTGTTACAGCTAGATTACTGTTTAACATGCCAAAATGTCTCCTACAAAATAGGAGTCAGGACTTGAAGTGTCAGTAAAAAGTGTAGCGAAATGTTAAGAATATGAACTGTCTTTACTTACCTTAAATAGCCTGTTTGCAACTGGCCTGCCATTACCCCTGAGACAAAAGCCTTTTCACTTGACATTTGCTTGTTCAATATTCCTAACACTGGACAGTAAATAATGAGTTAATGTGTTGTTTAGTCCAGTGATAAGGAGTAGTGTGATTATAAACAGCAGATGATCACTGGTTTGGTGTGAACATGAACAGAAGCACAGGCAGAGGTGGCTTTACAAGATAGGTTTGTTTCTGAATGTCATGTTTCATTTTAATAGAAATACCCACATAGAGCAGAAGAGTCAGGTGGAGCAATTTTATCAGCAGCAGAAAATACTGCAGACAAGCATTCAGTCAGTGACAGAGGCCACATTGTGCCTGTTGAGTGAACTAAGGTGGTGAGCGTTGTGTTGGGGGACCCAGGAACTCCAATGGGGCCTGACTAGTGTCACCCTTCTACTCTAGAGGAGAAATGTCACATTAACATAGTTACTGGTTAGAGAAAATGGCTTTATAATAATAAATATGCTATGCTCCATGTATATTATTATAGGTACATTCACTGCTTGTATTTGTTAAAACATGTTGTAGACCATGAATAATCTGTTTGCAGTAAATTGCAGTTCAATGTTGGCAGTGATCTAAACACAGTAACAGGGCTGAATGCCACCTTCACTGTGGCTTTCAGACAAGATATTTAAGCGCAGTTTCACATTAGCCTACTCTATTTCAGCGTTGACAAAGGTACTTAATTTCACACAAGGCCTTTCTACAGGAGCTCATGAGGATTCACACCATATGACTCACGGCCTCACCACGTTCTCTTGGAGTGATCATCAGCATATACTAAATGAACACAGTACAGCCAGTAACGGCGCTAGAAAACTGGAAAAATGAGACTGAACCTGGTGCATGATTGGAAACTCTCCCATGTACCTGCATTGAAAACACTACAGGAGTATTAGTATTGGTATTTTGGAAATGAGCCTGTACATGCATGAGCAGATGGATATAGAACAAGTGAGATTTAGCATTGTTCACTGCATGAAGCTGTATGTGCACAACTTTGATAAATGCCAACTTTCTTGTTACAGACCATTCGTATGCGGGCACATTGAGAGCTTCTATAGTCTTTGATAAATGAGGCCCCAGGTAAAAACATCAGGCCAACTGACTGTTGATACAAGATGTACAGGTATGATGTACAGGTATGTCACGAGGCTGAGGGGTTGGGGGGCGGTTGTGATGCGGGGTCATCCCTGTGCTCTCTCTCCAGTTTCAGGGTCAACATCACTGTCTAGCTCTGAAACAAGAAGAAAAATGTGAAGAAATACAATGTTAAAATGAAACTGTCAGATTAGGTTCACAAGTTTTAGCAGATTTGTCTCGTAATGATGTGAAATGTTGCTGCAATGTCTGTGTTCATTGGATCCTGTAATAGGCTCTCATGGGATCCTGTTTAAGATTTTATTGCCAACTTTGAAATTGTTGAATAGTTTTGCAGATCTCCTTCCAATTTTTCTGACTCTGCTACGATATCTACCTGCAAGGCCTCTTAGATCTGCCGCTCAGTCGTATTTGACTGTACCAAACATAAGGCTAAAAGTAGAGGAGGTCCAGCCTTTGTATTTATAGCCCCTAAGCTATGGAATAAGCTGCACGTCACAGTTTGCCATCTTCACTGTCTGTTTTTTAAAGTCAGTCTTAAGACATATGCATTGGCTTTTAGTACAGTCTGAGTGTGGTGTTTTTTTTGAAGTCACTGTTGAGGTGTCCACTGTTGTATTGTATGTTTGTTTACCTTTGATTTGATTTTATCTTTACTAGCATTTTGTCTAGTGTTATACAGCACTTTTGACACTGGATGTTTTTTAAATAGAGATGATATTGACACTGACAAAAGGTGAATAAATTTTTCTGAACATCTAAACCTGTGAAATGATTCCCTTTAAGATCCAAATTTGATCAATTTGGTCCAATTTAATTTGGAAAGTGAAAAAAAATTGTTATTATTCTATTTTATCTCATTCTTCGATGGGGAGCCAAACAGAAGTCTATCAAACTTATCATAGGTGGAAAATAAGGTAAAAACTACTTCATATTACTGTATTTAAGTAGATTTTTCAGGTATCTGTACTCGAGTATTTATTTTTTGACATCTTTTTTACTTGTGCTTCCTACACTTTATCTGTATTTTCTACTTGTTATATTTTCAAATCAGTCTTTTAGTTTTACATGTGAGAGGAATTATCAATTATTTTTGTTTAGCACTTGCTGCAAAATGTGCACACTGGGTGACATGTTTCTTTATTACTGTACAAGCTCTCTGCTTTGTTTACAGTCTGCTAGCTCCTCGTGCTTTCACAGAGATCTTGGACATGTGTAGTTGAGTCTTTACTTCAGAGGCTGTAAAAGGTTATGGTCATTTGAAGCTTTTCAGGCTACATATACACTGGTCTGTTGTTTTGTAATGAAGAAACATGTCGCCCAGTGCAGCGGTGTGTTTCACTATTTTTTTTCTTTCTGTGGCACAGACAACTCAGCTGATCCGGGTTGGACCGACAGACATTAACTGTGAGTAGACCTGAAATGTGTTCTTCATAGTTAATGTTCATTTTTTGTTATTTTTATTTTAAGTTAAAATGGTTTAATAATCCTGGAAATACAGTATATTAATGAGGTGAGGCTCAGTTAGGTTTGCACAGAAACAGCTTTTTACTTTTATGCTTTGAGTACACTTCAGAGCCTGTACTTTTTTGCTTTTACTCAAGTAAAGACTTTGAATCAGTACTCCTACTTTTACCTGACTTTTTTTTTTACACACTTACAGTATTGTTCAAAATAATAGCAGTACAATGTGACTAACATTGCCACCTTTGACTATTATAGCTCTTTGTGTTATAGGTTTCCTATTAATATTTGTAAAACTTAACCAGAGGCTAGATAGGTGAGTTTTATTTTTGTGACATCATCTCAATAGCCCTTTTTCAGACATGCACTGCAACCTTGAAATTCTCTAGACATTACCCGGGCGAGCTGTATGTGAGAACGTAAATGTCCCAGTCAGTCGACCCAGAACTTAAGCAGACTTTACTCTGCCGGCTCCCTTGTACAAAGTCTGCGTAAGGTCCAAGTTAGCCCATGTGAGAATACAGCAGCATATAGTCCAGAGTATTCAGACTGAGCTAGTGGGCATGTTGATGACATTCTGTCATGTGACTGGCACAAAACAGGAAGAACACAAGCATCCAGTGATGAATAAAAATGGTCACTGACAATGAAGACGCCAACTAAAATATCTAACAGGATACATGACATGATTATGCAACCTCTGTCATTAAGAGCCAACGCCAGAATAGTCAGACAAGGCAAGGAACTCAGTTGTTTATGACCAGATTACAAACTGGCTACCTGACCACTTCATGTCCCACCTTCTGTGCGCCTCCACGCATAACCCAAACCAAATATTTCCAGTAGGTGAGAATGCATCTGACACAAATTGGCTCCTGTTGTGTGCTACCTGTGAAAGGGCAACCCTTGACAAAGTCTGGGCCCGACTCCACGGACATAGTCCAGAGTTCATGTGTGAAAATGGCTAATGTAAACTCTATGGGCTAAGTGGGAAACTTTTGCTACCATGCACAAGTAAAAGGATCCAACTCATGGATGTCTTATGAGAACTGGAAACCGGACTACAAGATGGCACCCATTCTTTCCACTGAAAGTTGGTCGCCTGGTGTGTATACCAAAAAACTGTTTTCTTCTGGCTGAACTTCCACACTGTAAAACCCAACTACACATGCTCAGTAGCACTTCCTCGCTCAGCCCATTGTCTCTACATTAGGCCCACATCACAAAAATAAAACTGTTTTCTAGGCTCTAGGAAAGTTTTACAAATATAAAACCTCCATGGATTCAAAATTCATAATACAAAGAGGGACAGTTGACCTGGTTTGCAGTTCAGTATGTGTGTCTACAGTTTTACAGACGTCCATTTATCATTGTGGTTTATGAAGAAAATGCTTTTTGAGCCCCAGGAGGATTATTGGTTCAGTACCACTAGTTGCCACTGTCAAGTCAAGTCAAGAATCTTTATTGTCATTATCCATAGCACAACGAAGTTTTTTCCGGCAGCTCTCGGCTTAAAAGACACATTATTTACATAACACGCAACTGTATAAGTCAATATAAAACAATGAGCGAATAAAAAGGTGAAATGAAGGAGAAGCAGGTAATGTATTGTGTGAAATTCGTTTGACTTCCTCTTGTTCTCTACTTAGAATTTATTGGCATTGTGCAGGTTTCAACATGGTCAGACACACAATGAGCCATTACATCAGAGAATTCTGTCTCACCCATACAGCTCTCAGCCCTGTTGTGCTGGTTCTGCTGGTTCTCTGGAACAGGAGACTCTTCCTCCATGTGAATATCTGAAGTTCAGACAGAAAATATCATAGGAAAATGAACACAGTTTGGTCCAAATTACAAACAGTGTACTTGTAGATGAAGGGGACAACTAACTGTTATTAACTGTACCTGAATTGATCTTCACTTTTTGTTTTCATGAAACAGTGAATTGACTTTGATTGACAAATCCCAGGCCCCACCCACAGTCCTCAGCCAAGTGAACACTCACCTGCAGCTGCTTCTGAGTGGTCAGAAGAACAGACATCGGTGAGAGGTGGGAGGGTCTGTGAGCACACTGCGCTGATTGGCTGCATGGCAGTGGGTGGGCTGTTGTATTTCCTGTATGGCGCAATGGTTGAGGA